CCACCACACGCAGGGCCACCAACCTCCACATTTCAGAGCAGCCCAGGCTGCCCAGGGCCCCATCCAACCTGGCCTTGAACACCTCCAGGGATGGACGGGGCATCCACAGCCTCTCTGGGCAGCTGTTCCAGCACCTCACCACTCTCACAGCAAACAACTTCCCCCTGACATCCAACTGAAATCTGCCCTCCCTCACCTTCAAACCATTTCCCCCTGTCTACCCTATTATTATCATTCCCCATACCTGGAGGTATTCAGGGCCAGGCTGCATGTGGCTCAGGGCAGCCTGATCTGCTGGTTGGCGACCTCGCACAGAGCAGGGGGTTGAAACTCAGTGATCATTGTGGTCTTGTTTAACCCAGGCCTTTCTGTCGTTGTGTGATCCTCCTTTATCAGCAGGGGTGGTTGGACTCAGTGAACTCATGAAGTCCCTTCCAACCCCTGTGGTTCTGTGACCAATTTGATTCTTGATGAAAAAGTGGTTATTTCCATTGTGCTTGTATTTGGAGACAAATTTGGAGGTAGTGTTGTTAAACCTGCCCTGAAGTAAAACAGCATGAGGTGTTGGGGTACAGCACACCCCCAGTGAGCAGCTGCATGGAAGTATTCAGAAAGTTGGACATCTTGGTGAGCCCAGCAAGCAATGAAAGCAGAGCTGGAGGAAGATTTGTTCCTGTAGTTTTCATACAGTGCATTTCTTTATGCTGGGAGAAGTTGGAACACATGGGTTGTAACAGAAAAGTCCTCACGGACAATCTTGGTCTTGTAGTTCAGTGCAAATCCCTGTGTCTGTTCTTAAGGCTGTGTTCTGGCGGGCTCTCAGGTGTGCAGATGGCTGAGCAGAGATGTGCAGTGCACGTGGATCAGATGTGGGTAGCACTGTTTGTGAGAGATGTTCACTTGTTGAGAGCGCAGATGTGGGGAGTGTAGCTGCCTTGATTAGTTATCTTAGCATGTGGGATGTGTAGGAAACGTTAAGGATGGAGGGAAGCTTGCTTGTGGTGCTATTGAAGTGTCAGTGCTCTTGTTTCCTTAGGAGTTCTGGCTGTTTGCCATGTAGCGTGACTTCAGTCGTGCTGTCATGCATATCGTGGCTGAAGTACTCAGTTTGCTGAGTATCAACAGTGAGGAAGATGAGAAATGTCATTTAAAGCTTTGAAAGCTCAACTGGATTCTTTCTTCCAGGTTTAAGGAAAGGAAACTGATACATACTGAAAATGTTTAACAAATCTTTCGGAACTCCTTTTGGAGGTAACACTGGCTTTGGAACAACATCAACTTTTGGACAAAGTAAGTAATACATCTAAATCTGTACTTTTGATTTTTGCACTGCTTGGTGTGGGTTTTTTTTCCACAGAAGAACCGCTTAAGAATCACACAGAGATGGGGTTCTCTGTGTGTGATGGGAGCGGGGTGCTGCTGTGGGCTGTCCAGCTCACTTGCTTGGCAGTGATGAGAAGCAGAGCTGTGTTAGCAGAGAATCAGGACCCCAAACCTGCTTCACAGGGTCTTTGTTTCAGCACACACCGCAATTCCACATGCTGTTGATGAAGCTTCTTTTTATAAAAGGAGCGGGAAGTTGGATGCTTTAGTGAAGGCATTTTTGCCTGGGCTGGGAGGAAGGTTCATTCAGTTGGGACTGGAATATGGGAAGGAAAAAGCATGTGATGTGATTGCTCTCTGGAGATGCGTGTTGTGAATAGCATGGTGAAGTTGCTGACCATTAAAGCGGACCATCCATTGGTGTGTATGCACTGCTTGGTAGGAAGAAAATGCAGCTTTTGCTCTTATTGCAGATAATTGCAGAGCAGCTTCCAGGTGGTGGAAGCCTTGCTGCCTGGTGTGGGGCTGAGCATCCTTGCCAGGTGTAGCAGTAGCTGAATCAACACCATAGGCTCTTTCTTAAGAGCTGTGAAAGCATTAATGGTGCTGCTTTGTGTAGCTCAGATGCTGAGGTATAGCTGGTCAGGCACAGACTTTGGTTTGGAAGTTGGAAAGGCAATTTCAGTGGTTAGTTTCTAGTACATGTGTTTAGAATATGATTTTGTCTAACCTGCGGTGCTCATTTTCCAGATGCTGGCTTTGGTACCACGGGTGGAGGAGCGTTTGGCACATCAGCCTTTGGGGCAAACAACAACACTGGGGGCCTCTTTGGGAACACCCAGGCAAAGCCAGGTACTGCAGTGTTCCAGCCGTAGGCAGAATTCTGTCCTGAAAGCAATTACTTTTACCCCCAAAACCTCAAACCAAGCAGTGAAACGATTGCAAATGACTCACAGCTTGTTTCTGTCTGCAGGAGGGCTCTTCAGTTCCAACGCCTTTAATCAGCCAGCCACCTCCTCCACCAGCACTGGCTTTGGGTTTGGAACATCCACTGGGACATCCAGCAGCCTGTTTGGTACCACCAGCACTGGTGGAGGCCTCTTCTCATCCCAGAGCAATGCCTTTGCACAGAACAAGCCTGCTGGCTTTGGAAGTGAGTCAAACTCTTGTGTCTCCTGAGTATGGCTGATTTAGCTTGACTGTAGCATGGAAAGTTGGATGTGTGTGTGGGTCTGGTACAAGTGTTATGTGAAGTGTTAATGTTTGGTTTGTTGGTTTGGTTTCATTGTTATGGTCCACATTAGGCAGGTGCCAATGTGTTATGCAAAATCTGTAGCTGTGATTCTAGCTATGAGTTTTATGCTAATTCACATATAGGTAACCAACTGGTGTTTTCTATTATTAACTAATCTTTGGCTCCACTTGATTTTAGCTTTTTATTGTGCAGTTGTAGAGTAGTTACGGTTAGTTTTACCTCTGGTGCTAGAATGTTTGAATTACCCCTTCAGCACTTCTGTAATTCCCTGAAGCAGAAACTTCTGAAGAAAGCAAAAGCTTCCTGGATGCATTTGTACACAACTATTTATGGGTGCTGCTGTCAGCAGAATGGAACTGACTGCTGAGGTTCCTCTGCTATTTCCTGGGGTGATGAGATAGGAGGTAATCTACACTATGTTAACAGACCACAGGTTTCCAACACTGCTCTGTTTATTTTTTTTCCCTTGCAGTTGATTTCATTTCCAAACTGTTTTCTAATTCAGATTGGATATTTGGCATTAAGTTTTAAATTAATGGTTGTTTTAGTGCTGATCTTTCTGTTCCTGTTTGTTTTTTAAGACTTTGGTACAAGTACCAGCAGTGGAGGTCTCTTTGGAACCACCAACACCACTTCTAATCCTTTTGGGAATCCATCTGGCTCTCTGTTTGGCCCAACCAGTTTTACTGCTACTCCGACTGGCACAACCATTAAATTCAATGTAAGTTCTGTTTCACCCTTTTAATTCAGCCTCTTTACTGTAGGAAATGTTCCATTCTGCAGTTCTTTTAGTGAAGCACTGCCTGGATCCACAAGCTTAAAAATAGGAAGTAGTTAATGCACAAGTATGCAGTGTTTTGAAATTGCTTGGAAATACCTTTAGTTGGACTGCTGCAGTGAAAATGTAATTAACTGCAAAGAACCCAGACTTTCATTTTGTTCTAATTAAACACCCCAGAGTAATGCCCTGTGTAGGTGTGAGATGTGCATCTGTGTTGTAGGATGAGCCTTCCTGGGCAGGCAGGAGGTGTCACAGAGCTCCAGGTGATCACAGTTGAACTTGTTCTGGAATGTGGGTCAAAAGAAGTGCTCCTATCAGTCACTGTGGCATTGGGAATGAAAATGAGATTTGAACAGTGATGCCCTGTGTGTTTTTTGGATGAGTTCCCTTTAAGGGGGGGGGAGGGTCCTTGAGGGTTCCGTGGCAGTTGAAAATGGAGGACGGCCTGGAAGAAGAGCTGTTGGAAATGGGGTAACTGCTATCTGCCCAAAAGGCTGCTTTCTCCTCAATAGCTGCTCAGTTGAGGGCTGAAATGAGCTGGGAATTCCGTTAACTGATGTGACAGAGCAGGGCTTTGCCTGGCATCTCTGCTTGAAGACACAGCTGTAGTGATCAGCTTGGGCAGTGTTAGAGTGGCACTGTGTACTTCTTCCTAGTACAGTAAGATGGAAACAGGGCTGAAAGATAGCAGGGATAGTGAAATCCCTGCGTGCAGCTGGGGGATTTGTATCCTGAGCTGAAGTAAACTGCTGCACGAAGTGGAGCTGAAAGTTGATGACGCTGTGTTGTTCTGAGGGTTAGCAGGGTAAATTCCTCTATTGATTGCCACTTTGTTACAGCTGTAAGATAACAGAGGTATGCTGCTTCAGTTCCTGTAATGAATTTAGGTTTTAACAGCATTACAGAATGGCCCCATGAAAGGGACCTCAAAGATCATGAAGCTCCAACCCCCCACCGCAGGCAGGGCCACCAGCCTCCCCATTTCATAGCAGCCCAGGCTGCCCGGGGCCCCATCCAACCTGGCCTTGAACGCCTCCAGGGATGGATGGGGCATCCACAGCCTCCCTGGGCAGCTGTTCCAGCACCTCACCACTCTCTGAGTGAAGAACTTAAGAGCATCCGCTCAGAAACAACTACATCTATCAATAGAGACCTTTCTGGATTTTACATCTGATAGCTTAACCTCTTCTTTTGCAGCCCCCAACTGGTACGGATAGCATGGTCAAGTCTGGAGTTAGCACCACTATCAATACCAAGCACCAATGCATCACTGCTATGAAGGAGTATGAGAGCAAATCTCTCGAGGTCAGTTGATAATGTTCAAACATGTTTATTTGGTACAGCTGTTAATTAGTATTGGTTTAGCAGAGCTTTTTTGGACTGTAATAAATATTGTATGTGCTTGCTAACAAATGCAGCTTTCAGTATCTACATCATGCACAGAAGTGGCATGAAACAAAACACATCGTTGTATTAGTGTTGGTTTTTAATGTGTTCACTGCAGTTTTTGAAGAGCTGAAATTCCATCTTGCTGTGTATCAGGGGGGTGAGATCCTGCTGTGAGCACTTGTGCTGATGAGATAATGGCAGAAGCCATGACAAAACTCAGTTGTTTGATGTAAACCACTGCTCTCAAGGATATAGCATGAAGCCCTCCTGTTCCAGTTTGCTTAACTGATACTTGAAAACAGGTGTACTCTGAAAATGCCCTCAGAAATAAAATTGAAGCCCAGGCATAAGTGCAGCGATGCATCTAAGCTCGGGTCTTGTTGATGCAGCTCTTGTTTTAAAATGTGGAGCTGTTAGCAGCTGTTGTTGGTACCTTTGTCCTGGGGCAGGCTGGAAGCTGTGTGAGCATACTGGTGGCGTGGCTTTAACCTTACTCTGTGTAAAGAGAAATGGGTTTTCCTGTACTAGGAGCTGCGTTTAGAAGACTACATGGCCAATAGGAAAGGGCCCTCAAATCCTGTGGGAGCGGGAGCCACTACAGGCTTGTTTGGGACTTCCACTGCTACTTCGAGCACAGCTACAGGACTTTTTGGCTCTTCTACCACTAATACAGGCTTTTCATATGGACAGAATAAAACTGCTTTTGGAACGAGTAAGTACTGCCTGCGTGCTGCTCAACTGTGACTGGATATGCCAATGCTTTATTAAACTATTCAGCCATGAGAAGGATGAGGAAGTGCTGGTGTGAGCTTAGAGTTTGACTGTTGCATTATCGACGTTCTGTAATGAGATTTTTGCTTTCTGCTAATGAGCAGACATGAATTCTGTGGTCACAAACTTGTATGTTTATTGTGACCCAATGAGACAGTGCCAGGATCTGTTCTCCAGACCCTTGCATATTGTGCCAGCCTGGTTTCACACCATTTGAGTGTTCTTGGATGGAACATAAAAGCCAAATGTAAAGTTAACTAGGAACAGAAGCAAAGATCTGCTGCTTCTGAGGTTAGAATGAGTTTGTCCTTGATGGCTGGCCCTGCTGAGCTTTATCTTTGGGCTTGCTGTGTGGGCTCACCTAAGCTGCAGTCCTTGAGAGAGATGACCATGCAGGAAGCTGTGTGTGCAGCCTGCCCACTGAAGCAGTCCCTGGGTGCAGCTGGGGGATTTGTATCCTGAGCTGAAGTAAACTGCTTCAAAGAGTGAAACTGAAAGCTGATGATGCTGTGTTGTTCTGAGGGTTAGCAGGGTAAATTTCTCCACTGATTGCCACTTAGTCACAGCTGTAAGATAACAGAGGCATGCTGCTTCAGTTCCTGTATTGAATTTAGGTTTTAACAGCATTACAGAATGGTTTGGGTTGGAAGGGACCTCGAGGATTATGAAGCTCCAACCCCCCCCCACAGGCAGGGCCACCAACCATTCCCTTTCATAGCAGCCCAGGCTGCCTAGGGCCCCATCCAACCTGGCCTTGAACACCTCAGGGATGGACGGGGCATCCACAGCCTCTCTGGGCAGCTGTTCCAACAGCTCACTGCTCTCTCTGTCAAGAAATTCACACTCACTTCAGGACAAGGAGAACACAATAAAATGCACAGCTGCTTCCATCTGAGTGCAGCTGTGCTTTATTGGCCTTGTGTGTTTTGCTGTTCCATTGAGCTGAGGTTCTTTTTTTTCTTGTTAGAATGTACTGTGTGTAGATTGGGATGAACACTTGAGGATTTTTTTTAAAACCAACTTCTTTGTGTTGTAGCTACGACTGGCTTTGGAACAGGAACAACAGGAGGTCTTTTTGGTCAGCAGACTCAAACTACAAGTCTGTTTAACAAACCATTTGGTCAGGCCACGACGACTCAGAACACAGGCTTTCCATTTGGGAATACCAGCACTCTAGGACAGCCAAACACGAGCACAATGGTAAGATGAGTTGTTTAAACCCTTCATGTGCTGTTGTGTGCCTATTCCAGCTGTGCAGGGTGGGGTTGTGATGCAGTGATCCTGGTCTTCCTCAGATTGTTCCACATCTTCCTTGGAACTCAAATGCGAAGCTCTGAGCTCTGCTGTCTGGTTGAGGAGCTTCTTACCCATCAGTGTTTTTCATTTTTGATACAAGCTTATACAGCTTACAATAAAAACCTGCAGTTTTTCCCAGGTAGCTTTTCCCATCCTTTTGAAGATGGCTGCTCTCACCAACTCTAGGATTTCCAATCATATTCATGCAGATGATAAAATTCTTGTTACTTGTTGCTGATTGTTAGCATTCTGTAGAAATTTATTAACAATTCTATGCTTTCTGGTGGCTAATGAGCATAATGGGTGGGGTCATCTGATTGAGAGGCTCTGCACGGCTGTAACTCATTGTATAGCCAGAAGCTCTGGATACAGATGTGCTGTATTCCTCCTTGCTTTGCTGTGGCTTCTCTCAGAAAACCCTCTGGAATGGTTATTGCCCATCTTCATTGCTCACATGGGGGGGGAAAACTACATTATGGAGCACAAATTCCTTTGTTTGTTTTCCTTACTGTAACTTAATTGCCTGAATGAATCAAGCTCCTGAAACATTTTTCACCTTTTTTCCCCATCAGAAGGGAAAATACTGCAGTATTTATTAACAGACTTCTGGTGTTTGTTCTTCCATCATCATAGCTGGACTTCAGAAAGCTTTGTGGCATTATTTTAATGTAATTCCTCTTTGTAGGGTCCGTTTGGGGCCACGCAGCCCTCGCAGCCTGGAGGCCTTTTTGGAACAGCTGCCACTACCAATGCTGGCACTGCGTTTGGAACCGGAACTGGGCTTTTTGGACAAGCAAACACAGGATTTGGTGTTGGCGGTTCGGTACGTTCATATTTTTATAAATAAAATTAATGAAAATAAAACAAAACGGCATCTAGAGTCTGTGTGTTGACCTCGCTCAGAGCAGTGTTGTCGAAGTTAAGGTGCTGAAGGCGCAGAAGTAGTGCGGTTCCTTCTAAGTAGAGCTAGGCAGTAGAGCTAGTAATGTCTGGAGCAATGCAAGGCAGTAAGGGAGGCCAGACACATGGTGGGGGTGCCTTGGTGTGCTGCTGACAGTACAGGCCTATACGTTTTGATGTTCCCTTACTGAGAATGAACTTGATTCTCAGTAGCCAGTTATTTGGGTTTTAATGTGTTCTCTATAGGTAGAGGAGTGAAAAACTGTGTTCCAGAAAGTGGTTGCACGTAACAGCACTGCTGAGAGTTGGGGTTGTGCCTGGCTTTAGTTCTGCTTTCTTGCCTGCAATGAAACTCTTACACCCTTCTTTTAATATCATGCTGTCAGGTTTCCAAATTGATGTTTTCTTCCTTCCAGACCCTGTTTGGTAGCAAACCTGCTGGATTTGGAACCACCACGACCAGTACCTCATTTGGTACAACCACTGGCGGCGGGCTCTTTGGTAACAAACCAACCCTGAGTTTAGGAACCAATACAAACACTTCCAATTTTGGTACATATAAAAAAAAGTGGGATTCAATCACTTAAAACTATACTGCATATACCACACACCTGGCTGCTGAGTGTCGCATGCTAATGGTTGGGTGTTAGAATCCTCAGGTAAGCCGTCCTTCTGATGGGTGTTGCTGCAGAGGAACACCTTGGATCCTGTTTTGTACCTTTCTTTGGTGCTGTTCCCTGACTTACGACGTAGGTAGTTAAGTTGAAGTCCCACTGTTTCAATTAGTGCTTAGGAAGGTATAACCTGTAATGAAGAGCTATTGAAATCAAAGAACTTATACAACACTGTACATCTGCAGCCTGTTACACATCTGTGATTGCAAAGGAATGTTCAGGGACACAGTGCTATCTGTGGTTTGATGGCAGATCTAAGAAATTTGTATTATGTAAGAGAGATAAGACATAGTGTCACTGATAGCTGCTGTCTTTCACACTTTGAGAATCTATAGCTTTGAAGGCTGGGGACTTGCATTAGTGTTTGCCTCTGACACTGATGGTGTTTGGTGTTCAGTGTGTGATCAGGCAGGAGAAATATCCAGGAGAAATCCAGGCTGGATGTGGCTCTGGGTAGCCTGGTCTGATGGTTGGCGACCCTGCACATAGCAGGGGGGTTGAAACTGGATGAGCTTTGTGGTCCTCTGCAACCCAGGCAATTCTATCATTCTATGAACCGTGTATTTGTTCAAGTAAATGTCAGTCTTCCTTTGTCTGCTGACACTGAGAGCAGCAGAACTGTTATTCCTCGAAGGGAGCAGGGCTGGGTTTACAGTGTTGGAAATCCTGACAGCTTTTTTTTCTGTCTACAAAAATAGATGAAATATTCTGCCATATCCATGTTCCAGAGAGAGGGAAGGAATTGTTCAGCTCTTAGGCTGCCAGGGCACCACTGCAGCAGGCCCAGTCCCATTGTGGTGGCGGAGCTTGGGCAATTTGTTACCATGTTTTATTTGGAAGTTGCTTCCAAATTCCTTGTACTGAGAACCAGATAGCCCATGTTAGGGCATTGCTGCTGTGTATTAGGGAGCAGTAGCAATTCCAGTGTTTGTGTTAATTGCCCTGCGTTGTTTGCAGCAATACAGCAGACAGGAATAGTTTGGGTCTGGGATGCTTCTGATGTCAGTTTGTGACTGCAGTTCTCTAGCTTAATTCTGTCCTTACACTAATTAATGGCCACATAATTAACTATTAACAGAATGGTTTTGCAGCCTTCAGTTTACAGTCTAACCTGTGTAGTGCTAGATTTGGGTGACCTTTAGAGGTGTGCTTTTGAGCTGTGCGCTCTCCTGAATGGGGTTGTTCCTTGCTTTGTCAGTAAGAAACAGAAGTGTGTGTGTGGTATAGACAGTATGCAGTGGGGATGTTCCTTGCAGGCAGTTCAAGAAACTAAAAGTGTTTGATGCTATAACAGGCAACAGAATAATGATGTTCTTTTTGGCTTTATAAAATACTGAATTTCGTAACAAATTAAAAAGCTAAAGAAAGCAAGACAGTAAATTTCTAAACTAATGTTTTCAGTTGTATATTCATAACTCATGTACGTTATTTTTACCACTGAAGTCCCTTCTTGCTGCTTGTTTAACATGCATTTTTGGGAATGGTGTGTTAAATTTGACCTTCACTGTAGCAGAGCTGTCTTTGAGTGGCTGATGCTTATTTATGTTTTAAATTTCATTGCTAATAGCTTTAGATTAATGAGTTACTGTTTGTGTCCTTGAAGGTTTTGGTGCCAACAATGCTGGAAATAGCTTGTTTGGAAATAAGCCTGCAACAGGGACTCTGGGAACTGGGCTTGGGACAGGGTTTGGAACAGGTAAGCAGTTTTCTGGCTTGTTCTGTCTCAGCTTAAGCGTAGTCCTCAAGCTTTGGTGAAGTCTTTGTATCACTCTCTAACTCTGGGAATACAGCAGTGGCTGTAGGTGCTCTGGCTTGAAGTCATGAACCTGTCTTAGATCAGAACTGAGCAGAGCTGGATAATGCTGTGCTGATTAACCTGTTAGAAGCTGTGGGCAGTGTTACTTGTGGCTGTGGCTAATGGCTCAGCAAACTGGTGGCTTGCCTCGAAGGCTCTGTTGGTCTGATTGTATGAGTCTGGGGTGTCTGTACATTCATGCACACTTCAAGTCTTTCTTGCAACTTGCTAATGAATTCTTTATGGGATGAACTGGTTATTCAAAGAGTTACAGTGAGTTTTCTCATGCCATAGCCCTCGGGGCAGGACAGACATCATTATTTGGAAACACCCAGCCTAAACTCGGTGGCACACTGGGAACAGGAGCTTTTGGAGCACCAGCATTCAATACTTCCACTGCTACTCTGGGTTTTGGAGCCCCTCAGCCTGCTGTAGGTAAGTGTGCATCAGCCTGAGTTCAGTCACTGCTCCCTTCCTGGTTTCAAATGTGTCTGAGCATGGAAATACACCCTGCTCCACTGGTGTGGAGCCAAACAAATGTTGGAGGATCTATCTGAGGCTGCTTCTGCTCTAAGTAGCAATGTAGGCTCTGCTGTTTTTCCCTCCTTAGCATCACATGTATATTCTTCCAAGTGTAATTCGAAGTCACTTAACATTATTAACACTTACAGATGTTTTAGTGCTTTCCTTTCAAAATTTGTAAGGTGCTTCCCATCAGTCACTTTGGGGCAGCAACAGATGCATTTCATACATTTAAAAGAAGAAATGTGGTATTAATTTCTCTAGTAATGCTATCTGGGAGAGCTCAGGGTGCTTAACAGGTGAGTGTGGTGGTAGAATCTGTTATACATGCATCATTCTGTAAGTCATAGTGCCTGCCAAGTCCTGCACTGCATCCTGCTGGGCAGAGCTGAGCACTTTGGGAATGGCACACGTGGCCATGGTGCTCTACCTCTCACAGGTAGCAGTGTCAGGAAATGGTTTCCAGTGGGATGTAAGGAGGGAAGGGTGGCACACAGCACTATGTGGCAGGAAGGCTCCCACAAAAGCTGGCTGATGTCTGAGGCTCACCTCCGTGCTTGGATGGTTGGTGGGATTGCCAGAGAGAAGCTGCTGCTGTATGGCTGTGTGAGCAGACAGAGGTGGATCAAAAGATTTCAGGTCTTGGAATTAAAAATAAGATGCTTTATGCTCTTAAATGTTCTGTAATGTGATCTCTGTAGGATCTTAATGGGAGCTAAAATTAGATGCTGTGAGATGGACAGATTGAAGAGGCCTTTTCTGCTGAAAGGACTTTGGATCTATGTTTGATCACTGCAGCAGGAAAGTCAGAGTTGCAACTAAGATTTTTTCTTTTCCAAGATGTGAACATATTAATGCTTCAAAAACCTAATGTATGAAGTAAAGGTGTTGGAAGGCCAGGCTTGTTCTGCTTTTGTAGCTCTCTACACTCTCAGCTTTTTAATAAGCGCATTTCCAAATTCCAGTGAAGAAATAGGATATGATTTCTTCCTTCAGAATTCTGAAGAGCAGGGAAAAAAGGATTCTGTTAATTTAGGATTAGGAACTCCTGTGAGGAGATCCTCTGGCTGAGAGGTTGTCTTTTCTATCTGCCTTGATTCTATTAGTGTTGACTGCTAAAAACTTCTTTTTACAGCACTGACAGATCCTAATGCATCAGCTGCCCAGCAGGCAGTCCTCCAGCAGCACCTCAATAGTTTGACTTATTCACCCTTTGGAGATTCTCCACTTTTCAGAAACCCCATGTCAGATCCAAAGAAGAAAGAAGAGGTGAGTGTATTAAATTCAGTTTTCTGGGAAAGGTTTGAAATGAGTGAAGATAGGACAGTATATAAACTGAAATCAAGTATGCAGTGAGCAGCATAAGGACTTGCCATCTGTATGCTTATACTGATGCAAGATTGACTACTTCTTTCCTTAATGCTGTCCAGGACAAATGGCTTGTTTTGGGGCTTCGTTTACTTCTGACGCATCATTGCTTGACTTTGGAGTTCCTGCTGAGAGTTGCTCTGTGTGACTGTGTTTGGCATACTTGTAGCATTTTGCTTGAGCTTTGCTTATGCCAGCCTCTTGACCTGTTGATTGGTTTGAAAACAACCAAAGCTCACTTCTCAGGCTTCTGAGGGCAAAGGGATGTATAAATGGCTGCTGTCCTTCCATGTTCTGGAGGGTGAGAGTTCTGCTTAGTTGGTGGAACCCATCTCAGGGCTCCCAGCGGTCTCCTTCCCAGGCTGAAGGACATAGAATCATAGAATGGCCTGAGTTGAAAAGGACCATTGTGATCATCTAATGGTGGCTGCTGCTTTCCTGTTTGCAGGCTTAGCTGTTTGTGAGGCTGGGCATGGATCACAGATGCACACATGCAGGTGTGGAGCTACACACAGCATGCTGAGGCACTGCCTTCACAGCACCCACGTAGAGCACCACAGGGGACTCACAGAGATGGAGCAGAGGCAGCCAAATCACTTCTTTGTCTTTGGCTGATGAGGGTTGAAGGTCCATAGTGAATGTATACAGACTCTGCTCTGTAGATTCACCTGCACATTTGTGGGTTTTTTGAGCTTTAGCTTTGTCTCTGTCTGCCCAATACCTCTGCCCAGATCCTGAGCCCTCCTAGATGCTGACTCCTTTGCCTGATATCCTTGCCAGGACAACTCCAGATGCTGGTCCCAAATTCACTCCTGCATTTCTCTCCATTTGTGTTCTTACAAACAAGTCAAACTGAGAGATTACATTGAAAGACAGTTAAGAAAATTTTGGATATTAAGAAAGGAGAGAAGGTTGTGATTAGGCACGAGGCTCAATCACACAATCATACTGGCTGGCAAGGGTGTACACAAAGCCAGCCTGTTTGATACCTGTTCACTCTGTCCCCCTTCATTGTGGCTTCCTCTCAGCATTCTTTAGGTTGAAGGAACTGGGCTTGGGAGACCTTGTTGTGGCCTTCAGTACTTAAAGGGAGCTTATAAAAAGAAGGGGGAATGGCTGTTTGTCAGGGTGGGTGGTGATAGGACAAGGGGGAATGGCTTTAAAGTGAGACAGGGCAGGTTTAGGTTGGATATGAGGAGGAAGTTTTTGAGCCAGAGGGTGGTGAGGCACTGGAACAGGTTGCCCAAGGAGGCTGTGGATGCCCCATCCCTGCAGGCATTCAAGGCCAGGCTGGATGTGGCTCTGGGCAGCCTGGTCTGCTGGTTGGCGACCTGCACATAGCAGGGGGTTGGAACTGTATGAGCATTGTGCTCCTTTTCAACCCAGGCCATTTTAGGATTCTATGATTCCCACTTCTTAGCAGTTATAGCCCCGTTTGGCCCTGCCCAGAACTGTGTTTGTGGTGTCATGGCTCTTCAACATGTGACTGGAGACTTTTGGTCTTTAGCATCTTCCATGAGCTGTCATCAGCCAGCTTTGTGTCTCTTCCTGTTTACTGGTGTCCCATCGTGTCTTTCACTTCCTTAAGGTGCTTGGCTGGATAACAAGGCAGGTACTGTGTCTGTATGTTCCACATGTCTGTACGGTACACGATATGGAAATTCCAATTCTTTTTCTTTTCCAGCGGCTGAAACCAACCAACCCTGCAGCTCAGAAGGCCTTAACAACACCCACCCACTACAAACTGACCCCACGTCCAGCAACCAGAGTGCGCCCAAAGGCTTTGCAGTCTGCAGGCTCTGCCAAGTCTCAGCTCTTTGATGGCCTCGATGATGATGAGCCATCCCTATCCAATGGTGCCTTCATGCCAAAGTTAGTTTTCTTTTCTGCATGTTGGAGGGAGGAGGTGCAGAAAGAACTGTAGCGTCACTTCAGTTCTGATCAGATGAAGTCCTGAATTCCATCACTTTTTGTGACCTGATGCAAATAGGAATAGCAGTAACGGGATTTGTGTAGACTTAGGAGATAAATACTTTCTATAGAGGAAATAAAAATGGTCATCTTAAACTGTTAACTGCAAAGAAGCTGTGAAATGAGGTGACAACTGGAGTGAAGCTTCTATGAAGTCAGTTAGAAACTATACAGGAGAGATTTGTACAGCGTGCAGCTCCCTGCAGCTGAGATAGAAGGGCGGATAGGTTTGTTAATGCTGTCATTTGAAGGACAATTGATGATGATTTCATGGCCTGGCACTGGTTCTGTATCAGATTCACAGTGTTGGAATGGAGTAGTAATGCTGTGCATGTGTCCTAACGAGGCTTTTGGTTTCAATCTTTATGAGCACTGGTGGCAGTCCTGAAAAGGGCTTTAGACAGTTTTCATTTTTGTTTAATCAAACAGAAATACTTTGGAGGAAGATGAGTCAGTCACTGAAAGACCCACTAAGCACAAACTAAAAGAAAAAATAATTGTTGAGCTTAGTTTATCTTTGTCTTCACTTTGTTTTCTTTTTTAGGAAGAGCATCAAGAAGTTGGTTTTGAAGAACCTCAGTGGCAGCAGTCTGTTCTCTCCTGTCAATCGTGAGAATGATGACCTGGCATCTCCATCAGAGTATCCAGAGAATGGAGACAGGTATGGTGATAGATGATGTGTGTCTTTAAACTTGAAAGAAGCACAAACTGGTTATTCCTGTCTCTAAATTATTGTTAAAAAAGTAGGTAGTTATTTCTAGGGATGTCATAATGGCTGATCATGGGGAAACAGGTTGACCTTTTGAGTGAGTGACCTGCCCTCAGGCTGCCCATCTGCTCTACCTGTGTGCTTATTACAGCTCACTGCACCCAAATCAGGAGATCAGAGGGCTGACTTCTCTGGGATGTCTCCCCTCACCTCCTGTAGAGACAAATTATGGCATTTCTTGAGGGAAAAGCTAAACCTGCGCCTGAGGGGAGAAAAAAATCCCAAGTAGCTCAACATTTTGATTTTATTGAGAGCTCCTAAAAGTAAAAACTGATTACAAGAGTGGAGAAACTTCTTTCTAACCATGTTAATCCTAACCTAGGTGGTTCTTAGTAGGACAGGAGCACTTGTTAGCTGGGTTGCCAGCAGCCATGTACAACAGACAGCTTTGAAGCTGTTTTAGAATGAGCATAACAGTAGTGCCTTCATATTTGATCTGATCGTGGTGTCTGCAAGGCTTAATCTTTCTGTGCTTCTAAAGCAGTGTATTTGGGGCAGAAAAGAGTATGATTCCTTCAAATCACTGAATCTTTCAGGTTGCAAATGACCTTGGGAGGTATATCTGTTGAGCAAAGTCAACAGTAAATTCAGACTGGGTTATTGAAGACTCTATCCAGTATGGATCTCTGTGGATGGAGATTCCACAACCTCTGTTCCAACACTTAGCTGTCCTCATTGATTTCCTTGTTTTCATTTGAACATTGTTTCTCATCTTCCTGCCATGCATATCTGCATGTACCCTGACTCTTGGCTTTTGGTGTTGGAAAGCTGCTGTTTCTTTTCCCTTCAGCCCTTTTCTCCATGCTGAGCAACCCATTTCCCACAGCCCTCCCCTATGGGACACACTGAGGGCATTGTGCTATGCCAGCACGGAGTATGTCAGTATCTTTCTTGCACTGTGAGGCCCGGATGGGATGCAGAATGCCAGAGTGCTGAACAAGAGCGGAGTAAAGGGGAATGAAAAATGCTTTCCCTTTACCTGCTGCCTCTGCAGTTCGTTGAGTAGTAATGTTTGCTTTTTGTACAAAAAGCAAACAAATTTTAATGCTGATGTGAGCCCCTTAGAACTAAAACCAAATTTTTTTTGTTCTTCATTGCTTTAGGTTCTTTTTGTCGGTACCTCCTGATGAAAACCACAAACAAGATGGTGAGCGCGAGGAGGAGGAGGATCACCACGAAGTGACGAGGTTTTACACCAACCCCATTGCCAAGCCCATCCCACAGAGCCCTGAGAACACTGTGCACAAACACCAGAACAGTGTGGATGACACCATCGTGGCCCTCAATCCACGGGCAGCCCTGCGGAACGGCCTGGAGGGCAGCAGTGAGGATGCTTCATTTCACGACGATTCAATTCAGGATGAACGTGAAGAAGAGACTGAGACAGTGCACCACGTCCATCCTGCAGGTTGGATTGAGGGTGGAGGCAGGGGCTGTCCTCTGTAGATAACTCTTGGTGACGTTTAACGTGTGCTTCTTGAGCTGTTTGGATCCTCAGTTCTTTGTTTCACTTCCTCCTGTCTTCTTTTGGGGTACAAATCACATTTTTTCACTCTCATATCTCACACGATTTTTTCTTTGTAATGAGTTACTGAGCAGAATCACCCAATCTCCAGGACCTCAAGGATCATGAAGCTCCAAGCCCTCCACCACAGGCAGGGCCACCAACCTCCACGTTTCAGAGCAGCCCAGGTTGCCCAGGGCCCCATCCAACCTGGCCCTGAACACCTCCAGGGATGGACGGGGCATCCACAGCCTCTCTGGGCAGCTCTGTTGCTCAGAGCAAAGAACTTCCCCCTGACTTCCAACCTCAATCTTCCCTCCTTCAGCTTCAAACCATTTCCCCTTGTCCTGCTGTCATCTCCCCTTTCCAAGAGCTGACTCCCCTCCTGTCTGTAGGCTCCCTTTAGGTCCTGGAAGGCTGCAATGATTCACCCCGCAGCCTTCTCTTCTCCAGGCTGAACAAGCCCAGCTCCCTCAGCCTGTCTTTGTAGTGGAGGTGCTGCAGCCCTCTGATCATCTTTGTGGCTCCTCTGAACCTTCTCCAACAGCTCCCTGTCTTTCTTGTACTGGGAGCAATTGCATTTCATCACCCAGTGTTGTGTTGGTGGTGTAGTGAGATGTGTGGAAGGGAGAAGAAAGAAGCCCCAGTCTGTAATTCTACCATAGCATACAGTTGTCTGCAGTCCTGGCAAAAGACTTGGAGTTCTAAATCTTTTTAGACTTGTGGTTCATAGCAGTGTGCAAAGAGCATTTTAGAAGTTTCCAGGAAAGGAGCAGGCCACATGGTTGTGCCTCTCAATGGATCTGTATTGCATCTGTTCAGTGTGGAGTAAAAATGGAAGATGTAGGGGAGGTTGAGGGGCCTCAGGTCACTTCCACTTAACTTTACAGCTTTACAGCTTCATGGGTGGAGAGATAGAGGGTTGTCTTAGCTTGTTAAACTTGTGAAGGTCTGGAGAAGCTGAAAAGACTTGTTCACCCTTTCATTTTATATGTGGCATCTTATAAAACCAAGTCTGCTGTGTTCAGAGTAAATGTTTTCAGAAGCCTCAGCAGGAAGAAATGTAAATGCAAAATGCTTACAGGTGGCTCATGGGTTTTAGAAGTCTTTAGACAAATTAATAGCTGAAAAGAGCATCAGGAAGTGCTAAATTAGAAGTGCTGCATCTTGGTTGGCAGGTGCCAAATTAGCAGTTCCCAAATTAGGTGCTAGAAGAATGTCTGTCAAGTGTTGCCGTGTGTATTTGTGCTTTCTGTTTTTGCCTGTAGATCTGCTGCTGATCTCAGCTGAAGATGGGCTGTAAGGCTGAGGAGCCTGCATGGCTCTGCAGGCAGTGGAACTGAGGCATTTCTCTGCTTGTGTTGCACTGATTCTCAGTTTGTTTAGAGCCATTGTTCCATTTCTCCCACAAGCCTGGACAGCTGAGTCACCAGCAGTGTTAAAGCTGACAGTTTTGCCATCATCACAGTTCTTTGTTCTTCCTCTTGTAGGAATTGTTCTAACCAGAGCTGGCTATTACACCATCCCATCTATGGAGGAGCTGGCCAAGTTTACCAATGACAAAAATGAATGTATTGTGACTGACTTCACCATAGGCCGTAAAGGTGAGCATTTCTCATTATTTACATTAGAAATGGTGATTTGTAAAGCTCTGGAATCAATGTGAGTTCTGTCTAATGATAAGCAGCACCCCTGCATTGTGAACAGCTTGCAGTGAAATGAGAGATCTTTCACACTGGCATTGCTCAGCTGGTGGATGATCTGAAAGCTGGACTGAGAGAACAAACAGAAATATCAGTAGCTTTTAGGATGCCTGCTGTCCTTGAGCAGAGAGATTGTTAGAGGGCAACTTGCAGGAGCAGAATGCAAACTTGATTGATGTTTTGGTCTTACTGCCTGCACTGGAGCTGGCTGGGCTCTAATACAAAGCCTTCAGACTGAGCTGTATTCTTTACTGCTTCTATTTAAAAACAATAATTTAAAAAATATATATAGCATGTTCTGCTTTTAAATACTTTGTCCATGTGCCATAAAACTGAGTGTGTGGTTGGCGCAGAAAGCTTTTTGTATTGATGTTGCCAAAGAGTTGATAGTGAAGTTGATGGCATCTTCAGTATTTTCATACTGGGAAGTGGGAGTCAGCTGTGCTGTGTTCTATGTGTGACAAAACTAGGTGGGAAAAGAGAAATACAGCAGAGATTTAAGCTATCAGTCAGGAGATATTCAAGGGCAAATTGTGATGCTTGGCTGTGTTTGTTTTGCTTTCCAGGTTACGGATCGATTTTCTTTGAAGGAGAAGTAAATCTAACTAACCTGAATCTGGATGACATTGTACATATCCGTAGGAAAGAGGTTATTGTCTACCCAGATGATGAAAGAAAGCCACCTATTGGTGAAGGCCTCAATAGGTAATGCTGTGCACACACTGTAAGGATGTTTTTATTGTGTTGGCACTGTTTGCAGGCAGCTACTGGGAAATGTAAATCTACAGTGGGTGTTCAGGCTGCAGCACTGTGCATTGCTGAGTATCTGCAAGGTTCTTAACCAGAAATTTGGTTATAAACCTCTTCCGAGGTTCAGCAAGTTAACCAAGAGGCCCAGTGCTCATCTCCTGTGTGTGCTCTGATAGCTCTGTGTGAAACCTTGTCTCTTATGCCCTTGTCCATCTCTAACAGACGAGCTGAAGTTACATTAGATGGAGTTTGGCCTACGGATAAAACTTCTCGTGGCTTGATAAAAAGCCCAGAACGACTGGCAGAGATGAATTATGAGGGCAGGCTGGAGTCTGTATCTCGGAAGCAGGGCGCTCGCTTCAAGGAGTACCGCCCTGAGACTGGATCTTGGGTGTTCAAGGTAATGGTTCTGTTCTCACTGTGGGCTAAATGGAGTATCAGAAGTAGTCTGAAGTTAGAATCTTCTGAGACCTGGATTCAAGCTGGGCTAGAATCCGAAGTCCTTTCCTGTAGCATAAACTGTCCTAACTGAACTGGCCCAAACTTTTGGAGTGGCTGAAGGCGTTCAGTGGAAGAGCTTCCTTACTTAGTGGGTGACTTAGTGCTGGTAGTGGTACTCAGAGAGGCTGAGGAGTCTCAGAGCTCTTCAGAACCACTTGGACGTAATGCTGGGCACCTGCTCCCAAGGTTTCACACCCAATTACAGAATGGCCTGGGTTGGAAGGGACCTCAAGGATCATGACGCTCCAACCCCCCCACCACAGGCAGGGCCACCAACCTCCCCATTTCATAGCAGCCCAGGCTGCCCAGGGCCCCATCCAGCCTGGCCTTGAACACCTCCAGGGATGGACGGGGCATCCACAGCCTCTCTGGGCAGCTGTTCCAGCACCTCACCACTCTCACAGCAAACAACTTCCCCCTGACATCCACCCTCAATCTGCCCTCCCTCAACTTCAAACCATTTCCCCTTGTCCTGCTGTCATCTCCCCTTTCCAAGAGCTGACTCCCCTCCTGTTTGTAGGCTCCCTTTAGGTCCTGGAAGGCTGCAATGATTCACCCCACAGCCTTCTCCATGCTGAACAAGCCCAGCTCCCTCAGCCTGTCTTTGTAGTGGATGTGCTGCAGCCCCCTGATCATCTTTGTGGCTCCTCTGGAACCCTCTACAGCAGCTCCCTGTCCATCTTGTCCTGGGGGCTCCAGACCTGGACGCAGTGCTGCAGATGGGGCCTCACAAGAGCACAGTAGAGAGGAACAATCCCCTCTCTGTCCCTGCTGGCCACCCCTTTGACATGTTTGTCCTTCTCATTGCACAGGTAGCACACTTCTCCAAATATGGCCTGCAAGATTCAGATGAGGAAGAGGAAGAGCATCCTTTAAAAGTGGACGCAAAGAAGTTAAAAACCACACCAGTACCTCCTCCAGGGCATCTGCCACCTCAACAAATGACCTTAAATGGCAAGCCAACGCCTCCAGCTCAGGTAGAAGGAGGACAGTGACAAAAAGGGAATTGGAAAAAATGAAATGTGAAGAATTATCTGGTGCCTGGGGAGGGGTTGTTCAAGTGAGAAGTAGCCTGGAAACCGAAGAGCCAAACAGTATACAAACTTTCATAAACTCAGTAGCTCTTCTGACCTCTCAATGAGTGTTTGCATGTTCTTTTTCATTAAGATACTTGGCACTTCATACTGAGAATGTAGGGGGCTGGGAAGGCATTCAAGCCTTGTTTCTTGATTTTGGTCTAAACTGAACTTGGTGATTTGCCACCTATGGAAGAAAAGCTTGTTTTTGTAAATATTGATTACATTCTATATAACTATAATGCCTTGTGCTACCTGCCTTGAGAATGGCCTTATGCACTGCTTTTACTTGACCATCATTTAGTAAGTGAGACTGTATGCTTTATATTCAAAGAATGTGCCCTATTTTTATTAAAAACTACTTTTTGAGGCTGATCATGCACTGTATTTTTAAATATACTGAAGTGGGATGTAATGGCTTCTGAAGCTTTGTAAAACACCTTCAGTGTATGCCTGTGTGCTGTGCGTAGGGAAGGCAGCACTCTGTCCATTTACTGGTCAGCTCTTATGGTCTAACATTAACTTCCTTCACACAGTCTCATTGCACCTCATACACTTGCGTTTTCCAAATGTGATAAGCTAAATTAGTCTTTCTTTTTTTCCACCCATGGTTAAACAGATCCCATTTGGAAGACATTATGGCATTGATGGGATGGGATGCCAGGTGCTGAGGGCAGGTGTTTGTGAATGAGCTGTGGGTCTTCGGAAATAACTTCTCATAAAACAGCATGCAAGTGCAGAGAGCAGGAAACTTCTCCAGAGCTGGCTGTAGGGGAGAAAGCAGCCTTCAGCAGTCAGGGCAGAAGGGCTGAGCAGCAGGGCATCCAGCAGCTGGACAGGACTTGCTGGAAGGCTCTGCCAAAGCTGGCTTTGTTTTCCCCTTCAGTAATCTGTGACTGACTGCAGTGAAAGCAGATCTTTAAACTTGCAGCTCACTGAGGCACAGATCCTGTGTCGAAGTGTGTGCTGTTGATCCTGACACCCTATACCATGGGGAAGCAGAGGAGATCTATTTCTGTGTCTCTAAAGTCAAAACATGAAGGCAGCTTCAGAGGCAGTAGTGTCAGATAGGTTGAACACTCATCTTCTGTAGCAGCACTTGGAGCTGGTCTCTTCATTGGCCAGTGGCTTTGACTAGCTTCTGGATGTGAATTGCTCGCTGCATGGTGACAAATAGCAAGTTGTGTTTTGGCACTGCTTGCACAAAAGAATAATTTCATTATTTTTGTGGTAGGGATTCTCATTAAATCAATCTGAAATCCCTTTTTTTTTTTTTTTTTTTGTAGCAGTCTTTGGTTTAATCTCAACTTCTATAGAAGCACGTGAGCCTTTGCAGCTCTGCCACCTTAAGTTGTAGGGGCCTGGGCACGTGGCAGCAGGTGACACAAATGCTTTTCAGTACAGCCAGCTCTGCTGCATTGTGGGATCATAGAAAGATAGAATGTCCTGAGTTGCAGAGGCCCACAATGCTCACCCAGTTCCAACCCCCTGATATGTGCAGGTCGCCAACCAGCAGCCCAGGCTGCCCAGAGCCACATCCAGCCTGGCCTTGAATGCCTGCAGGGATGGGGCATCCACAGCCTCCTTGGGCAACTTGTTCCACTGCCTCACCACCCTCTGGCTCAAAAACTTCCTCCTCATATCCAACCTAAACCTCCCCTGGCTCACTTGAAAGCCGTTCCCCCTTGTCCTATCACCATCCACCCTCACAAACAGCCGTTCCCCCTTCTTTTTACAAGCTCCCTTCAAGTACTGGAAGGCCACAATGAGGTCTCCCTGCAGCCTTCTCCAAGCTGAACAAGCCCAGTTCCCTCAATCTTTCCTCATAGGAGAGCTGCTCCAGCCCTCTGATCATCTTAGTGGCCCTCCTCTGGACCTACTCCAAGATTCATTTTTCAGACTTCTGAGAAACAGCCCTAGTGTGGCTTGAGAACTTGCCAGACTCACTGCCCTGAGCATCTGAAAATGACTTTCTCTGCAGTTTGGGAAGCTTTCACTTTGGGTTTTTCTTCTCTTACTAACTTGAATATTAATGATCTTATTAGTATTGCGAGGTCCACAGGAGCTGGTTGCACTGTGACCTTTCTGTATTAAAACACAATGAGGGGAGTAGTGAAACTCTTGTTTATAAATGTGTTTGGAGTTGTGAATCTATTCTGCATACTGCAGGCACTGCTCCCTGCTGCTTCCATCTGCTACTAAGTGCTGTCCTTACAGTCTCATTTTTGCCTCATCTGATGACCTTCGTGGCATTTCTTGGCTGGCTTTAATGAGCTCAGTAGCAGCCCAATTGAGTATACTTTTAAATTCCTTGGCATGGTTGCCAGTGAGATATGTGCCACGGGTTCCTTGTTCATATACATGCATTGTTCCCAGCAGTGTGTTGTACATCACTGCATCTGGAAAGCAGGTCAGCTGTAAAGATGCATCTTTCCCAGGACACCCCTCTCCAAGGACTTGGGATGGAAGCTGGAGCACATCAGGAGCATTAGAGACTGGAACCTGAAAGATGCTCAGCTAATTAGGCACACACTGATTGCTGTTGGCCAGGTGCTGCTTTCAGGCTGACCCATTAGCTGCACTCTACCAGCAGTGGATGCCCCTCTCCAAGGGTTTTGTCCTATCAAACTATTTTGGTAGTGAGGCTGGAAGGCAGCTGAGCAGCTTGCAGTGCTGTCACATTCCATGTTGGGTGTGGGGCAGCTCAGTGCACAGGTGGGCTTTGGACTGGAGGTGACGGTACTGCTGGAGCACCATTCTGCTGTCTGCTTATCTTTGGGACTGGCTGAATGTTCCTTGGCCCTGCCTGGAAGGTGAAGCTGAGTTCTTGTAAGCAGCTGGAGGTTGTAGAGCTCACTTCAGGATCATCACAGAGATGATACCACGTGAGTGCCTTCAGAAAATCCATATGTTGAGTTCATCCTGCCTTGGACTGGAGCAGACATGAGAAATTTAGCTACAGATAGACAGTGCAACTTTCCAATTCAGTGACGTGTCCTGGTTTATAAAAATAATAAAAAAATTACGTGTGCACACGTACTCTGTGAGCTAGAATTGTGTGATCATGAAGGTTATTGTGTCTGTTTGTAGAATGTGGCTTCATATTATACAGTGTCACAGCTGGGGAGATAAAGCAGCAATCACAGTGTTGCTCATCACCTACTATGGGCAGCAGCAGCCAGTGCTGCACAATCCCTGTTCCTGAGCTGGCTGCTGCCATCTGAAATGTCCCAGCTTCAACTCTGACCCAGGAAACTTCTTTGTGTGATAGCCCTGTGGGGGAGAAAGGGATGCACAAACCTTGGTGTTTTTTTTCTGGTCACCTGGAAATGGAAAGCTGAAGAACAGCTTCCTGCACTGAATGGCACAAAGTGGTAAACTGCAGGAGGACACAACTAAGCTGTGACTTCTCCTTCACTTTAACTTGCACTGTTAATGTTGCAACACTGAAGAAAATGGGAACAGGTTCTATATTCCTCCCTAAACTTAAATTGGAGTCTTGACACGAGCAAGGCGGTGCTCCGCTTCATGTGCAGGTGATTGTTGAGATATTAAGAACATTTTCTTAGCGAGCTGTTGGAATCTGTTGTTGCCTGATGCGACCTCTGTGCCTGTATCCGTAGAGCCCCGAGGTGGAGCAGCTGGGCAGAGTGGTGGAGCTGGACAGTGACATGGCAGACGTCACCCAGGAGCCTCCTCAGGAGCCTGCAGTGCAGGACAGCATGGCAGAGGAGCAGGAAGCAGTGCCTGCTTCTGCTCACATTGCGTCGACGCTGGGCATCAACCCCCATGTCTTACAGGTAAGGCCTCGTGCTTTTCTCTCTGAGAGGTGCTTTGGCAGTACCTGTCAGTGATGCTCAGTGTGCCTGCCCTGTCTGTGTGCTTCTGTGTTTGTGGGAGATCTTCAGAGGTCCAGAAATATTAAAGCAGAAACACTGGAGCATCTTTAAAATGATAGTCAGATTTCAAAGCTATGAATTGGTGAGCTCATACCTAACTTGGACTGCTTCAGACCCAGTTTGAGGCTGGCCGTGTTAGTAAGATAGCTGAATTTGATCTTGTGGTCTGTTGTTTTGGCTGATAGTTTGGTTTTGTGGCTTTTTTTGGTGGGATTTTTTGTTGTTTTGGGCTTGTTTGTTTGTTTTTTTTTGCATAAAAAGATAATGCCTTGAATGCTCGTGGCCTTCTACCTATATTTCCTACCCTAGGAAAACACAGTTCTGTTGCTCAAGCTGAAATATTCATAGAATCATAGAATGGCTTGGGTTGGAAGGGGCCACAAGGATCATGAAGCTCCAACCTCCCTGCTGCATGTAGGACTACCAACCTCCATATTTAGTACCAGCCCAGGCTGCCCAGGGCCGCATCCAACCTGGCCTTGAACACCTCCAGGGATGGATGGGGCATCCACAGCCTCTCTGGGCAAATATTGGTAGCCAGAGCTAAGATCTGAAAACCCATGGTAATCATAGGACCTCATGCCTATTCTCCCAAGCACTGTGGCATTATAACTAACAGTTTTATAAAGTTTATCAATAACTGTGAAGCTTGTTTTCATTTGTCCTGGATTGTGGCATGCAGTGTGGTATGAGTGCATTTAGTTATACACATTATGTGAAATTGATGTTTATTGGGAGGGGAGCAGATGAGATCAGTTGGCTGCTGCTAACAGAATGATTGCTGACATGCAGATTTGACTTCTGCCCTTTTAGATTATGAAAGCTTCCTTGCTTGCTGATGAAGATGACCTGGATTTAATCCTGGACCATCACTCTGGGAAGCAACCTACAAAAATGGATACTTCTCAGGAGATCTGTTCTCCAAGACTCCCTATCTCAAAATCCCAAGGACAGAAGAGATGCTCAGGTACTGTGGCAAACCACACACTGCATGAAGAAAGAGTTCAGTTCTAACATCAGTATACAAAACCCTATTACTGTCTGAGTGCGTGACAGACCAGGTGTGTGCTGTGGCTTTGGCCTGCCCTCAAGCTCCACAGCCATCTCCCCAGGCTGCAGCTCCTGCCTTCCTCCTCTGGCCTCACTGCACACTGCTGTGTTCCATGCCTCTGTTCTCTCTTCCTCTGCCTCGCGTTCCCATGGGGATGCTGCAGACTCCCCTGCTTCTGCGTGGTGGTTTGTGTGTCCCACAGAGTGGTGATTCCAGTAGAAGTAACACAGATCTCATTTTATAAGCATGGGGTTGCTTCCTGAATGAAATCTCAGATCTGAAATTGAGGACAGTTTCAATCTTGTTAATCAGTGTCTGCTTTCTCTGAAATGTTCCTGTTCTCATAGTTTAACTATATCAGTTAAAGTCATAATTACTTTCAGAAATCTTCATTTTTGGGGTGAGGCTACATGTAATACCACCTTCTTTAGTTTGGACCAAATTATTCTGTGCGTGGTGGATTTCATGACTGCAAACAATTGCTTTTTTCATACTGCAAACAATTACTTCTAGCTGTGCATTGCCACAGCAGATCAAGGTGAGTATTTTCACTGGCTGGTTATGAAGGACTGAAATAGCTCTGAAATCACAGAATCATAGAATTGCTCAGGTTGGAAGAGACCTTAAAGATCATCAAATCCAACTACAACCCAACCATCCTACCCTAACTCTTAACAAACCTCAGCTAAATCATGTCCCTGAGCACCACATCCAAAGGGTTTTTAAACACATCCAGGGATGGTGACTCAACCACCTCCCACTCCAGTGCTTAACAACCCTTTCTGTGAAGAAGTTTTTCCTGATATCCAGCCTAAACTTCCCCTGGTGCAGCTTGAAGCCATTTTTCTGTCACCAGTGAGAAGAGACCAGCCCTGCTCTGCTGCCATCCCCTTTCAGATACTGGAAGAGAGCAGTAAGGTCTCCCCTCAGCCTCCTCTTCCCCAGTCTAAATAGTCCCAGTCCCTTCAGTCTCTCCTCGTAGGCCATATTCTCCAAGCTCATTCCCAGCCTTGTTGCCCTTCTTTGGACCTGCTCCAGCACCTCCATGTACTGTATTTTCTGTACTGAGGTGCCCAAAACTGAGCACAGTACTCGAGGTGAGGCCTCACCAGTGCTGAGAGCAGGATTACTTCCCTAGTCCTGCTCACCACACCATTCCTGATACAAGCCAGGATGCCATAAGTAATAAAATATCAGAACCTCCTGATGAAAGGCAAATGCATGTGTGGCTAACTGTTCTTCCCCCTTCTTCCCTCCAGTTGCTGGGCTGCTGCAATCAAAGTTTGCTGATACCATTTTCCAACCACCCAGCACTGCTCTTTATGACCTCCAGGAGCCAAGGGCATCTCGCAGCTCCCCTTCCCCTGCCTGCTGGTCAGCATCCTCTCCATTAGCATCAGCTTTCACCGTCCCTCCATCGGTCCCTGAGGTGCAGATGAGGACAGTGGGTGTCCGTAGGCAGCAGGGCTTGGTCCCTCTGGAGAGCTCCATCACCTATGGGAAGGGGAAGCTGCTGATGGACATGGCACTGTTCATGGGACGTGCCTTCCGCGTGGGCTGGGGGCCCAACTGGACTCTTGTCAATTGTGGGGATCAGCTGAGTGGGTCGAGTGGGATGGAGGACCTTCCATGTGAGGCTGCGGAGTATGGATTCCTGCCTGCTCCTGTTGCTCCAAAACTGTGAGTGCTGTTTTCCTTCAGGGTGGTTCTGCTGTGCTCTTAATGTTTGGACAAATCCTAAATGTAAGTCAGTATCATTTTGGAATTTGGCTTAGGGTTCATTCTGAGGTGTGAGATAGAAGGTTGTCCTAGCCATCATAGAATCATAGAATGGTTTGGGTTGGAAGGGAGCTCAAGGATCGTGAAGCTCCAACCCCCCCCACCACATGCAGAGCCACCAACCTCCACATTTCACACCAGCCCAGGCTGCCCAGGGCCCCATCCAGCCCTGCCTTGAACACCTGCAGGGATGGACGGGGCATCCACAGCCTCTCTGGGCAGATGTTCAAGCACCTCACCACTCTCTCTCTAAAGAACTTCCCCCTGACATCCAACCTCAATCTTTCCTCCTTCAACTTCAAACCATTTCTCCTTGTCATGGAGACAGTGGATAGCCTTCAGGTTGCTACATCACAAAAATCTGTATTTCAGAGAAATGGAGTATCACAGCAAGAGTAGCTTTTTTTAACACATAGAAAACACTGTCATCCAATGAAAGTTTAAACAGGGAAAGTCCAGAGCTGCTGTTCAGGAAGCTTAGAATGTGCTGTCCTTTATCCCTGGGAATATCTTAATTTCTGAATTCTCAGATGCCTCAGTTCTGTTGTATGTAAAGCAGGATCAGAAGTTTCTAGGCTATGCAAATCCATACCCAAACTTCACTGGAATTTAGCCCATTGTTCTACCATTCAGGACTTCCAAAATGCTTCTTGAGTTGATCTGCCGCACATTTGATTTGTTAGCAGAATGAATCACAGAATCACAATCACCAAGTTCAGAAAAGACCTACAAGATCACCCAGTCCAACCATCCACTCATCACCAATAGTTCTCACTAAACCATGTCCCTCAAGGCAAAATCCAAATGTTCCTTGAACACCTCCAGGGTCGGTGACTCCACCACCTCCCTGGGCAGCCCATTGAAGTGCTCTTGTAAAATGTGCTGGGTTGTGGTAAGGTGTGCTAATGCTTTTTGTGTGCTGGAGGCACCCAGCTCAGTGCGATTGATGGGCTCATGTGTGATTCTGAATCACAGACTGTGTCCAGGTTCTGCATACCCAGTCATTGACCTCCAGTCATACACCTGCTGCTGTGTTACAGTCAGGATAAGCTGTGCAGTGCAGCTGCTTCATAATAGGAGTTTATTCACATGGAAAAGAACTCAGTGTTGTTTACCTGTTTGTTTTCTCTTTTCTTCTACTACAGACTCCCGGAGTCCCCTTTCAAGGTTCATGTGGAGAAGCTGAACTTGGAACAAAGGAAGATGAACAGAGACAAGCAGTTGTATCTTATCCCTCTGGAGATAAAGCTGAAGCATAGCACTGTCCATATGGACGAACAGTGTCCTCTCCTGGCTCCCAACCCAGGAGTTTCTGCTATTCATGACTATGCTGACTGGGTTCGAACAGCATCTGAGGATCCTGCTGTAATGGAGAGTGAGTAGAGAGTGCTTATATTTACAGTGATGGCAGAGGATCTGGAGAACTATCCAGCTCAGGTTATTTGAGTGCGAATAAAACAGAAAGTGGCTGCACCTCCGTGTACTTTCTGAAAGCATGGAGGTGATTGATTGCATTTGGGTGGCTGACTGAGGTGTAGCAGTAGGATATCTTGTAAGATTACACTTTGACAAATTTAGGAGGCTTTTCTAAACATCCTCTTGGTTTTACCCTCCTAACTGGCTAATTCTGTATTGACAGCTGTTGTGAAGCACTGGTGCTTGACGTGGACTTTATGTGAAGCGATCTGGGGGAACCTGAAGGAGCTGGAGGCCAGCCTGGAGGAGCCCAGTGAGTACGTCCTGGCCCTGGAGCGCAGGAGGGCTTTTTCTCGTTGGCTGTCGGAGACCGCAGCGGCACGGATTGATAAGGAGGTTGCTTTGACCCAACACCACAATCATGTGGAGGCTGTGTTCAGCTGCCTGACAGGGAGGAGGATTGGAGAGGCTTGCAGGCTGGCACAGCAGGCAGGTAAGATGCTCACATCCCTTTTTCTCTAAGGGAGGAGGTAGGAGGGAGAGACGTAAAGAGAACTTTGGCACTGAGAGCTAGTAGTGAGTAACTGGTCATTCTGGTGCTGAATGTGGAAGATGGATTAAGGCACGGTCTGCCTTGTCTACTTGCTGCTATTACAGTCATAGACTCCACAGCATGGTTGGGTAGAAGGGCCCTTAAAGCCTCCCCCCCCAGATCAGGCTGCCCAGGATCCCATCCACGGCCTCAAGCACCTCCAGCAATGGGGTGTATCTGGTCATATTTACACTGCTTTACTCTCAGCTCTTTTAGAGGTAAGGTTCTTTTTGCATATCCTCTGAATAATATCTTCTTTATATTTTTGATTGAGCTTAGAATCATAGAATGGCTTGGGTTGGAAGGGACCTCAAGGATCATGAAGCTCCAACCCCCCACCACACGCAGGGCCACCAACCTCCACATTTCAGAGCAGCCCAGGCTGCCCAGGGCCCCATCCAACCTGGCCTTGAACACCTCCAGGGATGGACGGGGCATCCACAGCCTCCCTGGGCAGCTGTTCCAGCACCTCACCACTCTCTCTCTAAAGAACTTCCTCCTGACATCCAACCTCAATCCTCCCTCCCTCACCTTCAAACCATTTCCCCTCGTCCTGCTATTATCTACCTTTTCAAAAAGTTGAGCTTCTTTGAAGCTGCTTACATTTGTTTTAAAAGCTTATTTGCAGACCCTAATGGCTAGTTTCATCCTGACTCTTTTTGTCATCTCAAGTCTTCAAACTTCTCCATTCATTTGACCTTGTTTGGGAAGTCAGTCCTTCCGATTCCTTTGTATTTCATCTGTCCCATTTTATTAGGTATTTAGTTCATAAGGAACCAGATAGTTAAGCAACTGTAAGCTGAGCAAAAAGGCTTTGTGGTTCATGAACAGGCAACAGATGTGGCTCAGCTGTCGGTGTTTTCCTAATGTGCTGCTGTCTCTTCTTCCAGGCAACCACCGGCTTGCCCTGCTCCTGTCCCAGCTGGTGGGCAGCCAGCCCACACGGGACCTGCTCACCATACAGCTGGTGGACTGGCACAGGCTGCAGGCAGACTGCTTCATCCCGGAGGAGCGCCTGCGCATCTTCGCTCTGCTGGCTGGGAAGCCTGTATGTTGTTACAATTGTTTTGTCCTTCAGTCATAGAATCATAGAATGGCCTGGGTTGGTAAAGGATGATGAAGCTCCAACCCTCCCCACTGCATGCAGGGCCACCAACCTCCACATTTCATAGCAGCCTTGGGTTGCCTGGGGCCCCATCCAATCTAGCCTTGAACACCTCCAGGGATGGACGGGGCATCCACAGCCTCTCTGGGCAGCTGTTCCAGCACCTCACCACTCTCATAGCAAACAACTTCCTCCTCACATCCAACCTCAATCTACCCTCCTTCAGCTTCAAACTATTTCCCTGTGTCCTGCTGTTATCTCCCCTTTCCAAAAGTTGACTCCCCTCCTGTTTGTAGGCTCCCTTTAGGTCCCGGAAGGCTGCAATGATTCACCCTGCAGCCTTCTCTTCTCCAGGTTGAACAAGTCCAACTCCTCAGCCTGTCTTTGTTGTGGCGGTGCTGCAGCCCCCTGCTCATCTTTGTGGCTGCTCTGGACCCTCTCCAGCAGCTCTCTGCCTCTCTTTTATTGGAGGCCCCAAAGTACTCCATATGGCTCCTTGATTTGACTCTGCTCCCTGACAGCAGTCAGTTAAAGTTTTGATGGTCAATCCCAGCATGATACATGGCAGGAAACAAATACAAACTGACTTCTGGGGTTTTCTGTTTGTGTTACTAATGGGACTTACTACTGTTGTGTGCCTCCTCTTGTCCCGCACGCACCAACCTCTGTGTGACTTGTCTAATCCTCCAGGTGTGGCAGTTGTCTGAGAGAACCAGCATCAATGTGTGCTCACAGCTGGACTGGAAGCGCTGCGTGGCCATCCACCTCTGGTACCTCCTGCCTCCAACAGCTTCTATCTCCCAGGCACTTGCCATGTATGAGGCAGCGTTTCAGGTGGGTCAATGTGCCTGGCTGAGAGGCCTTCCTGGTCTTGGCTGGAGCTGTGGACTGGTGCTGCATGCAGCTGGCTGAGTGTTGTGAGCAGCCACATATTGCTGCTGAGCATGCATTCAGCCTATCAGTTGTCACAGCATCGAATTCCTTCCCTGGTGTTGGTGATGCATTTGTGCAGCAGCTTTGATCCACATTGATGTGGATCTTCCTTTTCCCTCTGTGGAGTGGAAATAAATCACTGAGGTTGAGCCTCGTGGTGATACTCCTCAGAAGCATAGGCCCTCCTCTTCTGCTTGCTGTGTCAGTGACTTATTTCAAGCTGAGCTCCCACCTGCTTACAGTGAGACAGATGTAGGGAGGTGGGCAGTGACCACCAGCACAAAGGCCATTTGAACCTGGTGGCTGGTCAGCTTTTCTGCTGTGCTGGTTAATACTCAGCTGTCTGCTGAAGTGCTCCTTGCCAAGCCACTGCTCTGCTGCATCCCCAGCTCCTCCAGACAGTGTGTGGCTGCGTGTGTCATGCAAGCTGTGTTGCTGTAAACTGAAAAATATGGTGTGAAATCATTTAACTTAAGGTAGCTTGGCCCTAAGGGTAGCCCAAGTACAGCCTTTAGTCTGCCCTCCTAATGAGAGATTTAATGCTGCAGCAGTACGTAGTGTGAGCTTTGTACACAGTGTGCCCATGTAAGGTGTGCTGTCTGTAAACTCACCCATAAAACCATTTGTTTAGACCACATCAGAGTCTGAGAAATACGCCTGCTGCCCCCTGCCTCCTTACCTGGAAGGCTCTGGTTGTGAGATTGAAGAAGATGATAATGCAGGAAGACCTCTCAGAGATGTCTGTTTCCATTTGTTAAAGCTCTACAGCGACAGGTGAGTGGGGGAATGCTTCAAACATGGTTTAGATGAGCCTTGGTAAGACAGTGACCTCCCAAATGAGACACGTGTAATTAACTTTGCTATTCACTGAACTCACTTAAAGTGGTGAAAAATCTGCCTTGCCAGCATGGCATTATAGCATGTGGTGCTGCTGTCTATAGGTGATTAAACTCGAGCTTAGAAACATGACTTTGTTGTTTTCTGAGTGCTTCCTGCTGTAATCTGGCTTTCACTGAAGGCACAGAGCAGCCTGCAGAGGGAGCACGGGGACACCCAAGGGCTGTGGCAGTCTGGATGCAGACTCAAAGGAGGAACAAAAGCACTTGAACAGTTCATAGAATGATAGAATGGGCTGGGTTGCAAAGGAGCACAATGCTCACCCAGTTCCAGCCCCCTGCTATGTGCAGGTCACCAACCAGACCAGGCTGCCCAGAGCCACATCCAGCCTGGCCTTGAATGCCTGCAGGGATGGGGCATCCACAGCCTCCTTGGGCAACCTGTTCCACTGCCTCACCACCCTCTGGCTCAAAAACTTCCTCCTCATATCCAACCTAAACCTCCCCTGTCTCAGTTTCAAGCCATTCCCAGTTGTTCCCTACTTTAAAAAGGCAGACAGAAAACCAAGAATGGAGATTGCACATATGGAATAGCTGGAGGTGGGGGAAGGAGAGGAACCAAACAGTGCTGATTTCTGCTTTTGTGATGCCTGCACCATTAGCTATTAAAACATGATGTTTCCCTCCAGGCACTACGATCTGGACCAGCTGCTGGATCCCAGGAGCATCACATCTGACCCGGTGGACTATCGCCTCAGCTGGCACCTGTGGGAGGTGCTCCGTGCCCTCAATTACAGCCACCTGAGCAGGCAGGGGCAGGGCGTGCTGAATGCCAGCTATGCTGCCCAGCTGGAGAGCGAAGGCCTGTGGGAGTGGGCTGTGTTTGTGGTGCTGCATGAGCCCAATACCCAGTAAGTAAACATAATTCTCAAGGCACAAAAATCAACCGATCTCTGATCTGTAGACCATAGCTATCACAGCTTCTGGTTGTGCTGGAGCTGCAGAACGTCACGCTGCATGCAGAGCAGTGTGTCAGGGTTACAAAGCATTGTGAGCTGTTCTGCTTCAGGTCCCTCGTTGGGTGTCACATAGCACTGTAATGACTGCTGAACTGCTGTGCAGAAACAAATGTAGGAACCAAAGTGGCTGAGGTGGGCTCATCTGTGGGTCAGGAAGCTTACTGAACTGGAGAGCTTAGCCTGAAAGCATCATTAGTGCAGAATAATGTCCCTGGTCACATCCAAAGGGAAGAGGTAAAAGTGTGTGTGATGGGAACCTTGCTGAAAAATAGGTTTGCTTCTACTGTAAAACAGATAGCTAACCCAAAATTATCTTAAAATTGTAACTAACACCATTGTTTTTGCGAGGGTGTCTCTTGCTGTTAGTGCTTACAGATGTAATTAATACATTTCAGCATTATTTTTCCAACCCACAGCTTCAGTTAAAGCCTGTATCTCACTTGAGGGCTGTGAGTCACATTGAAATCATTTTCAGCTGCAGTGCTGAAGGTGTTGCAGAGCATTAGTGATGACCTCAGTAGTGTTTAGGCTGTGCTAAGGAATGCAATTGATGTTAGAGTTTTTCTCAGTGTCCTGTTGAAGCCTGCTGAAGGGGAGGGCTTGCCATGCGTTACAGCTGTGCCTCTGTTGTAGCCAGTAACACGACGCAGTGCACCGCTGCTCGTGTTGAAGCCCATCTCCTGGTGCTGTGATTCCTCCCAGTACCTGAGGGCAGCTTGTCAGCAGGAGAGTGGTTTTGTGTGGACAGGGGGTGACAGGAGGGGGTGATGAACGTAAGCTGAAGGAGGGAAGGTTGGGTGGGATGTGAGGGGAAACCCTTCACCCAGCGCTGCTGCCTGGAGCTGTGGGTCCCATCCTGGAGGAGCCTGAGGCTGTGGGTGGGCACTGGGACCCTGAGCTGAGGGCACACACCTGCAGTGGGGATGGGGTCGGGGTCTGTGAGATCCTTCCAGCCCAGCGTGCTCTGATACAGTGTGATGGAACAGCATCCTGTCCTCTGCTCCCACCAGCATACGTGAGAAGGCCGTGCGTGAGCTGCTGGGCCGGCACTGCGCTCTGTGCGAGACCCCCGAGTCGTGGGCCAAGGAGACCTTCCTGACACAGCGGCTCTGCGTCCCTGCAGAGTGGATTCATGAAGCAAAGGCTGTTCGAGCCCGCATGGAGGGCGACAAGCATAAAGAAGCCTTGTTCCTGTTCAAAGCCGGGCACTGGAACCAGTGCCACAAGTTGGTTGTGCGGCACCTCGCATCAGGTGAGCCAGGAACCATTTGTCCCATTCTCTTTTGAGTAGTGTGCAGGAATGTGATGGGAACAGAAGTGATGGAGCCAGCAGTGTGCTCCTGCAGCTTGGAAAGCAAATGGGATCCTGGGCTCCATCAGCAGAGGGGTGGCCAGCAGGGGCAGGGAGGTGATTGTTCTCCTCTACTGTGCTCTTGTGAGGCCCTGTCTGCAGTATTGTGTCCAGGTCTGGAGCCCCCAGGAGAAGAAGGACAGGGAGCTGTTGGAGAGGGTCCAGAGGAGCCACAAAGATGATCAGGGGGCTGCAGCACCTCCGCTACAAGACAGGCTGAGGGAGCTGGGCTTGTTCAGCATGGAGAAGAGAAGCTGTGGGGTGAATCATTGCAGCCTTCCAGGACCTAAAGGGAGCCTACAGACAGGAGGGGAGTCAGCTCTTGGAAAGGGGAGATGACAGCAGGACAAGGAAAATGGTTTGAAGTTGAGGGAGGGCAGATTTCAGTTGGGTGTCAGGGGGAAGTTGTTTGCTGTGAGAGCGGTGAGGTGCTGGAAC